ATACAAACTGTTTTCTTTGTGTTTCTATTGTTTATAAACTAGCATATTTACTGGGTTTTTTTGGTTAACATTCAGACGCCTAGCTTTATATCAGTGATTAAATTATACTGATTGCTTTAAGTTGATAATTGTAACTAAATTATATATTCACAAAATACGTGTTCTCCAAGCATGGTACTGTCTTACTCAAATTTATCTGTACATTACCAAAATTAAGGGATTAGGCAATAGCTGGAATTTCATATTATCATGCTATTCTTCATGTTATGGATATTAGGCATGCAGTCGATTTAATGTGAATTTATTTGAATCCTTCAATACCCTTTTAGAAAGAAGTGTGTGACTCTAAATATTATATACTGTTTGTATAAATAGTTATGCACATATATACACCTTTCATGTCTTCATTTGGTACAGATTAATGACAAAAATTTGGCTAATGTTGAAATTGAAAGATATACTTGAATTGAAAGGTAGAGATATATTGACTATTTAATAGGAATTAAATATTGTTAAATCAATAATAGCTATAGTTTCTACTCATTAATTTTTTTCTAACATCTTATTATGAAATTTTCAGACACACAGAAAACTTAAAAGCATGGTACACCCACATATAAACCTGCATGCCTACCTCTCATATTCGGTAGTAGTTAATATTTTTGTCGTGTTTGCTGTGTGTGTGTGTGTGTGTGTGTGTGTGTATTTTTTGGCAGAACCATTTGAAAGTTATGGTCAAAATGTCTCTTCATTCCTGAACACTTCAGCATGCTTCTCCTAGGCATAACAAATATCCTCTCACATAAGAATTTACTGTTAGCATATCCACAAAAATAAATTGGCTAGGTATGGTGGCTCTTGCCTGTAATCCCAGATCTTTGGGAAGCCAAGGCAGGAAGATTGCTTGAGCCCTAAGAGTTTGAGACCAGCCTAGGCAATATAGTGAGACTTCATCTTTATAGAAAAATTAAAAAATTAGTTTGGTGTGTTGGAACATGCTTGTAGTCCCAGCTACTCAGGAGACTGAGGAGGAAGGATTGACTGCAAGGAGGTCAAGGCTGCAGTGAGCCATGATTGTGCCACTACATTCTAGTCTGGGTGACAGAGTAAGACCCAGACTAAAATTTAAAAAAAAAAAAAAAGAAATTAAATTCTCAGATATCTAATAATCAGCCATACTTAGGTTTCCTATAGTCTCTCAAAATGTCCTTTATAATTCACTCCCTGCCCCCATTTTGGATCCAGTTTTGGATCTTAGGCTCTTTGTTGCATTTGGCAGTTATGATTTACATTTCTTTTGGTTTGAAGTAATTTTTCCTTTTTTTTTTTAAATTCAAGACTGACTTCTTGAGTAGACCTGACCAATTTCTTGTATAGTGTTCTAAATCTAGATTTGTTTGGTTGTTTTCTCATAGTGTTACTTAATTTGTTCCTCACTCTTCTGTATTTCATATAAAGTAGAAGTTAGGTGTAAAGGCTTAATTGGATCAGGCTAAACATTTTTGGAAAGAGTACTTTATAGGGTGATGTGAAGACTGAATTTCAGATTTTCTTGTGATCAGCGATGTTAAGATCGATCAATTGACTAAAGTAGTAACCCAGCCAGAACTGTCCATTGTGAAAGTACATTTTCTCCTTTTTTTTGGTTAGCAAATAATTTGAGAGATACTACTTGACTGTGTGCAAGTATTCTGCTTTTTCCAACAACCTTATAGCTAATGTTTTTGGAATCCCTGGATGAGTCTTTCCTAAATCCGTTATTTCACGAGAGTTGCAAAATTGTGATTCCCCCCCCAATTCTACCATTCCTTTTATAGTTATTAGCTGGTATTCTTCTTAAAGAAGGACTTTCCTTCTTCACCTTAGATGAACTATAGTATTTCCTATAAACACCCTTTAACTACCACTTTTCAGATTAATGACATGGTGTAGTAGATACCTCCATTGGTGGAGAGTGAGTTTATTTCCCTTTGTTCACTTATTTATTTGAATTGCTCTGGACTTGTGTTTTTACAGTTCTGTATTTTACAGTTTTCTGTTTATTTATAGTCATCCATCCATCTCTTTATTTTAAGTTGCTCAAATTGTCCCAAAATTGGTACTTGAGAACCCTTCCAAGTTGGTGCCTGTATACTTCCAGGCTCATAATTCTTTGATGGTTTTCTTGTTTCTGATTGTATCCTGGTGGTCCAGTATGAACCAGTTTGACCCATTTTTTTCTTTCTCAGACCTAGAGTTGACTTTTTTCAAAGAACCCTGAAAAGTATTTAGAAACCAAGTACTAGGTACTAGAAATGCCCTTTGCTCCCACAGTGTCATGAGTGTATACTGACAGTTCAAGTTCATATTTCACATTTTATGTTTTTTGATTTCTTTATTTTATTTATTTATTTATTTATTTGAGTCGGAGTTTCACCCTTTAGCCCAGGCTGGAGTGCAGTGGCACGCTCATGGCCGCCACAGCCTCAACAAGGCTCAGGTGATCCTTCTACCTCAGCTTTCCAAGTACCTGGAATCACCGACATGTACCACCATGCCCGACTAATTTTTTGATTTATTGTAGAGATGAGGGCTCACCGTGTTTCTTGACTCATCTCTAACCCCTGAGCAAAGGCAGTCCTTTTGCCTCTGCCTCCCAAAGTGCTGGGATTACAGGTGTGAGTAACCATACCTGACCTCCTGTTTTGATTTCATGTTTGCAAATTAATGGGAAAACCTCCACTGATTAATGAAAGCAATGGAGTTTTGAAATTACTGAAATTTGTTGAAATTACTGAATATTTTTAAGCCTATGGAAAAGTTGGGGGGAAAACCCAGTACAGTGAACACTTGATACACCCTTTCTTCACTTAGATTCACCGTCTGCTAACATTTTGCCATACCCATTCTGTCTCTCTCTCTGTAGGCTGCAGACTTATTTTAATTCACTTCTAAGTATGTCAACATTATTACCATTGCTTTGAAAATCATTAATTTATTAACATCATCTAACATACAGTCCATAGTCAGATTTCCCTAATTGTCTCAACTATCCTTGTGACTTTTTCCTTGTCTCTCCTCTAGGATCCAGTCAAGGTTCACCCACTGCTCTTGTGTATTATGTCTCTGGTCTTCCCCATTCTAGAACATTTCAGTAGTCTAGAGTCTTTTCTCAAATCTTTGCAAATCTTTGGAAGAGACTGGGCCAGTTGTCTTGTAGAACATCCTCATATCTGAGTTCATCTGCATTTTTCTGTAATTGGGTTCAGCAGGAACATCTCAAAGGTGATATTGTCTTCATTCCACTCTGCCAGACCAGGACGCTCATATTGTTGATGTTAGGCTTGACCAGGTAGTTAAGGTTATCATCACTAGATATGTCCAGTATAAATGCACATAATTTCTTTGTAATTGCTTTAGTTAGTAAATAATGTAAGGTGGCACTTTGAGACAAGTATGAGTGTCCTATTCTCAATAGCTTTTAACCCAGTACATTTAGGATACATTGATGATCCTTCCCTAAATCAGTAATTACGTTGTAAGTTACACATAGGGTTTTCTAATTTTGTCATCTTGTCCATATTAGCCAGTGTTCTTTAGTAGAGAACAGCTCCCATTTTTCTCTTTTAGTGGACTTGTAGATATTTAGAAAAATGCAATAGTTACAATCCATTACCATTTTTATTCTTTTTGATGCCCCTGTTGTCCCAAATTTGGCCAATGGGGATTCCTTCAAACTGGCTTCTGTGTTTTTTGGAAATGACCAATCAGTCTTTGAGCACTTTCCTGCATTCTGGCACATTGGGTATGCCAGGCTTACTTAATACTTTCTCTGTCTGAGACCAGGAACCAGCCATTTCCCTGGGATGCTCTGCTTCTTTTTATTGGTCATTGGTATATAGAAACCAAAACCTGTGTGCTGGGTATGCTCAGTGCTGCTTAGTGTCATTGATTCTAAGACCTTTCCATGGAAAAGAGTAGTTCATATATATAAATAATGTAAGTTCATATTGATAGGGTAAATTCAAATTTACCATTACATCTTTTTTCTTGAATTCATTGATTTTGTATCTTTTCTCTTAGGTTAACGTTTTCCATTAATTTTAATTTATTAAAATTAGCAACTGTTTGCTGAGTTATCTAGTGTAAGGTTCTGAAATTTGGGGAAGCAAAATGAATGAAATACAATCTCTGACCAACATAATTTTTTTTAATGGGTAGGAAATACAAATATATGTGAGTATAGTAATTATAATATGTTGTGATATAGAATTAAATTATCTTAACATGCAAATAATACAGCAGAACTTTGAAAGGTTTATTACGACTAAGGGATGGGAAAAATCTTGCGTCTTGGAATGGGTTGTTCACTATAGGGAAGGACTGGGGAGTAAGGACATTTATGATTGAAGAGTAGGTGAACAAATCACTGGAAGGGGAATAACGTAGAAGAAGATTAGTGTTTTATGTTGTCTGCTATAATACTCATTATTTCCTTCATGTGACTTTTTCCTCCCTCTGTTCCTTTGAACTTGTGATAACCCCTCAGCTCACGAAATCTGGAATCCTCTGGATTACAGGTTTCTTTTTGTCTTCATCTTTGTTAAGGAAGTAATCACTGTTGTTAGTGTGCCTTACTATAGCTTCCACATTATCTCACTTATAAATTGTTGCTTCTATTCTGCCAAAGACTTGGGAATTAAATATGCAGTGTGTTAAGTTTTAGTTTAAGATCTGAGTAAGTAAACCAGGTGTGAGGTCTTATGTGGTCTTCCAGTGAGTTGAATGCCTAGGCTTTGGGGTATATATGTATTTTGGGCACATGGACCTCTACTTAAGCCTCTTCAACTGAATGGAGCTTTTATTATTCATAGCTAAATTGAGTTCTGCATTTGATATCAAAAGATGCCAAATGAATATTAATTGGTGAATGAGTGACTCTCCATCTAAGACTAAAATATCTTCAGGATCTCTTTCATTGTCTTAGAACTAGATAAATTAAGAATGTCTTTTTTTTCTCCAGAGCTTCAGTGAAGATGTGTTCCAGTCTGTAAAGTCTTTATTACAGAGTGAGAAGGAACTATGCAGTATAACAGCAGAGGACTGTTTAAAGCAGGATGAACATGCCAATTTAACTGAGGTTTGACATATTATTTTCTAAACCCTTTCCAAATAACGTACAGTGTATTTTTATGCATCTTTGTAGGACTGCGTAACCTATTGTTAAAATGCCTAAAATCTCGACATATTATTACATGTATTAGAAGTATCTGTTTTAAATACTGGGTAACGTAATTGCCAATATAATATAATGAGCACATTTTATGTACTGTATATCCGTGCACTTATTGGACATACAGTACTATATTAGTACTATATTAGATGATTCCTGTCATATTCAGTAATTGATACTTTAATACTAAATTTTTCTATTCTAAAACATAAAGTACATGCACATTTTTTATACTTGCTTTTTGAGTTATTTTCTTGACTGTTTAAATTCAGTGGTTTGATTCAAAATAAAAAAGTAGTGATACCACAAGCAAACATGTTCTCGCTCATAAGTAGACCCTGAACATATTTTCATAATACTACAAGAAAGGGATTGGTAGTAGTGAGAAACTGCCAGGGGAGGAGAGGCACACTTCATCAGTGAGGGTACCTGATCTCCATGTGTAGTGGGGACCAAAGTGAGGCCCAAACTTTATCTATACAATGACTATTTGTATACCTAACCCTGAATTGTCTTCTACATCTTAAAAAAAATAAGTAGTAGTGATATATTATTACTTTTATCTTTATATCATTATTACATTTATCTTTGAAATGAAGATACTTTATTACTTGAGGACAATATATACAACTTGCCTGCCTATTTTTCTGCTACAGCTAGTGTTGCCAATTTTTGTTTGGATTTGTTACTATAAAAAGGAAGTTTTTTTCCTGTATAATATCCATAGTTAATTGTCACATTTATGTTGCCAAATAAGAGATGTGGTATTAGATCATTGTAACTCAAAGTTGATGAGTATGCTAAAACAATTTATTTGAAATAAGAGTTCTAAGAAAAATCTTAGTTATGGATGCTTCTCAAATTATGATGGGGTTATGTTCTGATAAACTCATCATAATTCAAAAATATCAGAAATTATTTAATACCCTGGTAAATCCATTATAAAGTTGAAAAATTATAAGTTGAGTAATTATAATTTGGGGACCACATGTATTCTTATTTTGGGGAATGAAATGATTTTCTTTCATATTCCTTGAGAAATGTCTATTTGATATCATTTCATAGGAAGATGAGCATATCTTTTAGGCTTGTAGTGTTCTGCCACCTGAGCCTCTTCTTTTTGTGTCAGCTTAATTTCTATGTCTCTTGACTATTTTCTTCTTTGCTAATCCCTTTTCATTTTATTTTGATAATGCTGAGCCACTCCTAATCTATACAGTTGTTGGCCAAATGTGGCAAGTCTATGTTTTTCTGCCTTCCAGCAGTTTCTCAGCTCATATCACTCCAGCTACTTCTGCAGTGCCTTTCCAAACCCACATTCCTTAGAGATCTTCCTCGACCAATTGGAAATATAGACTCCTCCTGGCATCTTCAGTACTCTACCAACTTTTTTTCTCTCTAAAAGAAACTTGAAAGAATAGAAACAATTTTCGTTCTACTTTAGGGTGTACAAATCTTTTAAGTTTCTTTTCTAAGAAAGGAAGGAAGTTTGTTATTTGCATATCTATTTGTTATTGAGTGCCTGTGATGTGCCTGGCACTTTTCTCTGCATTATCCAATTAATCTCACAACTGTGGGAGGGACATTTTATTGCCTTAAGTTTTATAGAGGAGAAGATAAACTCTTAGAGGTTAACAGTTTACCTAAATGTCTGGAATATAGCTATAACGCTTCTGTGAATTAATAACTGTAACTAATCAGAATAAAGATCCTAGAGTAATTTAAGGTTCTGACTTACTTCTGAATATTCAGAAAGGGAACATGTATTCAGTGTTGCTTTAAACTTTATGCTATTTCCCCCTGGTTCTTGAGAACTGATCATCAATATTGCTGTCATTTAAGTATTGTATATTTTTATCCATAGTACTTGGTTACAGTTTACTCTTCTATCTTCAAATGTAAAAACAAATTTCTTACTATAATCCAAATACAGAGAGAATATACATTTTAAAAATAATGCTCTTTCAGATTATAAAAGTAGTACATATTCTTAGTAGAAAAATAAAAAATACTGAAAGTAGAAGAAAGTGACTGTTATCTTATGATTTGGGGGAAAAATAAAGGTGAAAAAGAGAGAAACAAAGCAAAGCAAAACAAAACAAAGCAACTGTCATCCAGAAGAATTTATTACTGCTTATCACTGCTTATGGTTTGGTGTCTTGCCTTCCAGTATTATTTTCCACGCATATGTTTTTAAAAATCAGATTGAAATTGCATACTGTAAATCATTTTTATGTACCTTGTCCTTTACTTAATAATTGTGACATTTTCTCATGAATTAGATATTTAGAAATTGAGTTTATATATGCTCTGCAGCGTAATCTCTGTATAAGTGTGTTGAAGGAAAGGCATTATGGTATACAGAGAGTCAATGAAGATGTCGTTTGGGCGTGTACTAAGGGAAGATTTCTCTGAGGAGGTGATACTTGAGTCAAAAATTAAAGAATGAGGAAGAACCAGGCATGTGACTATCCAATGAAGAGTGATCCAGATGGAAAGGCACAACTGTCAAGCTCTTTTCTTTCTTTTTTTTCTTGAGTAGGAGTCTCACTCTGTCACCCAGGATAGAGTACGGTGGCATGCTCACAGCCACCACAGCCTTGACCCACTGGGCTCAGGCGATCCTTCCACCTCAGTCTTCTAAGTAGCTGGAAATACGAGCATGTGCTACCATGCCTGGCTGATTTTTTGATTTATTGTAGAGACAAGGTCTCATACAGTTGCCTAGGCTAGTCTTGAACCCCTGGGCTCAAGCAGTCCTCTCTCCTCTCCCTCCCAAAGTGCTGGGATTACAGGCGTGAGCTACTGCGCCCGGCAACTGTCAAGCTCTTCTACAAGAATGTGCAGAGTGGTTCCAGGCTAGGAAAAGGGGCCTGTGTGTGTGATTGAAAACAAGGGAAAGTTGAAGGTGTTAGCTAACCCAAGTTAGGATTTTGCTCTGGAAAGCACAAAATAGCCAGGTAAGTGGCATGGTAATGGGACCAGGTGGGAGAGAATTGTAGCGGTACAGATGAGAAGGTGGCAGGGGGATTGGAGAGAAGTGAATGTATTGAAATATGTTTTGGGGGTAGAGATGATTGAACTTGCTAGTGAGGGAAGTGTGGATAAGGTTCAAGAACTGCATTCTGGAGTTTTTGGATCATCTTTGAAAAAATCATCCTATCTAAAGTAGTCAGTATTTTAATGCTTTGTCTGTTTTTTCCTGTTTCTCAGCTCTGTCACCAGTCTCAGATAAGATTTAAAAACTCAAGTTAATAGAACTTTATTCCGTTTTTACTCAGGTCACATTTCTGGGTTTTAATGAAGAGACAGATGCAGCTCATATACAGGTATGGTCAAGTTATTGAACTGGGAAAGGACTGTGAGAGATTATTTTGAACAAATTTTGAGACCATGAAAAATTTGCCTTAATTCTCAAAATTTATCCTAAATTCTTCTGGTATCTTTTTAAAGTTAAAAGGTGACATTTTGAAGTCAACTTGTAAGTGAGCTTTGAACATTTTCACTTTTAGCATTTTTACTGAGTATTATTCTTAGGGAAAGCAGCTTTAGGTTTGGCCACAAGTCACTTGTCTGAGAAGGTTGCAAACTGCAGGCTTTTTCTCCCTTCTATGCATATAGAATGTAAGGCTTGTTTCTTTATTTTAATGGTTTTCATAATTTGACTTCAACTGTAAAAATTATTTTATTTTTAGTTGAGGTTGAATTTAAAAGATAAGATTTGTAAAAAGTAACAATTAGCCAGTGTAAAAATTTGAGTCTGACTTAGGTAGTTTTTTTACAGAAAGACTGATGTTTGAGGTTAGGATCAACAAAGGAAAGCTTCAACAGTTACATAAACAGTGGTTAAAGCACCTGTGGATATGGTAGTTATACTTCTCTTTTCCTCCCATGCTGCTTTTTAAAAGTTTTGTTGTTGCATGTTTCCTTTTGTGGCAGTAAAGCGTCTCCTAATAGAGGAGTACTCTAGTACTCTTCTTCTTTAAGAATTACTAATAAAACCATGTATCTTAAAAGAGGTCAGACACTTTAATAATTCTTTAACTGGGTAACATATGTAAGTTAAAAGGGCAAACAGGAAGAAACAAAGTACTTTCTTTTTCTTTAATCTTCATAAAATTTTCATTAAAATCTTAATCTAATACTTTGGAGAAGAAAGAAAAGACAGTATTTTATAAAGCTAAAACTTACGATCTTAAGAAGTACATTCTATAGCCCCAAATCCTGTGTGAATAACTTCAGAGTTACACAGAAGCACTATAGTTTGATAATCGCTAAAAACTATTGAATGCCAAATTGTCATGGATGTGTGAGATATCTTGTAACATTTTTTGTATAGCTTGCTAATCGATATGTTTTAAAAACTACAGTATAGGCATTAATTAATTTTAGTAATTTTATTTTGAATTTTAAAAAGTTATCTGTGGATAATAAATGACATATATTAATTATTATGAGCCAGAAGATTTATTAGCAAGTAGACATTGTAAGTAGCTCTCCCAGCTAATGTTAGAAAGCCAACTCCTCATAAGTCAGGATCTCCATATGGTAGGGACTTGATAGGGCCAACATTATAGAAACCTTAACAAAAGCATTATTCTCCAGTGTTGTTATTGTTATTATTTTAAATTAGGATTTAGCTGCAGTTTCTTTGGAACTTCCAGATCTTCTAAATTCACTCCACTTCTGCAGTTTAAATGAAAATGAAATTATTTGTATGAAGGATGTAAATAAATCATCAGATGTAAGCAGTGGTCCTCTAAATCAGGTAACTTTTGTAATTCATTTCTAATGAGTTTTCCGGGCAAATTTTACTATATTTGATAAAGAGTATTAAATTTTTAAGTGCTTGGATGGAGTTTTTTTGTTTTTTAAATGCTATCTCAAGGAAATATGATTCATAAGAAATCCAACTCATATGTCTTGACATCCCTAAAGTTTACAATAATTTTGGCCATAGCTTATAAAGTACATTTTTCTCATGAACTTCCATACATGGCATGCAATTGCATATTAATTTTTTTCTGAGAATGTATTATTTTTTGAACAATTTCTGCCTTAGGGACATTTCCCCTTTATGGCCAGCTATAAATTTATATAGATAGTATACTATATGTTTTAGATAATGTGCTTCCAAGCTGGACGCGGTAGCTCACACCTGTAATCCCAGCACTTTAGAAGGCAGAGGCAAGAGGATTGCCTAAACCCAGGGGTTTGAGACCAGCCTGGGCAACTTGGTGAGACCTCGTCTCTACAATAAACCAAAAAATTAGCTGGGCGTGGTGGTGCATGCCTGTAGTTCCAGCTACTTGGAAGGCTGAGGAGGAAGGGTTGCCTGATTTTAGCAGGTCGAGGCTGCAATGGCTGTGAGCATGCCACTCCACTCCAGCCTGGGCGACAGAATGATACTCAAACTCAAAAAAACCCAAAAACAACAAAAAAAGAGAATGTACTTCCACTCATTTTCTGATTTAAAAAAATTCCTTGCAAAGTGGACGTCTGATGATGTGTTCTTTACAAAAATGTTACCATTTCAGACAGGTGGTTTAGTTTTATAATATTCAGCTTTTAGTTCTTTATAATTATGTTGATAATGTTTCAAAGTAAAATTTTTTGCATTTTAAGAGGACAAACGCTATGCAGTTGAACCAGTAAGTTTAAAGTTTGAATTACTTATTTCAGGTATAAAACCTGCTGTATTTTTTATAAGGTCCACTGATAAAAGTAGAACTGCTTATCTTCTTAATTAGATTCTTTATTCCTATTTACTGTGCATTATTTACCTGAATAAAAGAGAGTTAGCTGTTATATTTGATTTCTAGTTTTTTAAACAAAATCTTTCATCAGTATTTTTTTTTTTTAAGATAGTATGTGGGGAAAAATCTGGTGACTTGGATTCTTAAAGCTGTAAACATTATTGTAAGTTGTAATACTGGGAAATTTAAATAAAAGGAAGGGACATTTATTGTGGTAGGAGTAAAGATAGTATCTACCAGCATGATAGGAAAAGGGATTAAAATAAAATGAAATAGAACTTTGTTCCTGCCCTCATGCAGTTTACAATATAGTTCTCGGTGAGATAGGTGAATGATTAAATAAGGAACATCACGAGACCACACAGTAATACAGGAACACATAATTGCTCAAAGGAATGGATAGAGTGTAAGGTTTTATAACATTTCAGGAGAATAGTCTAGGTAGAATTTGAAATTTTGGTAAGAGAAGTTGGGAGAAAAAGAGACTGGGAAATGAGAATTATAGAAATGAAGAAAGAATTAAACATTAAAAAATCAGGGAGCTTTGTAAGATGCCTGCATTTCTTCTTCTTTTATTTCCTTTGAGATTGTATTAGTTTTAGGCTTAACTTCCAGATAATATGTTTTGTATTTGAAGTTAAAAAATTTTTTTTTAATCTTTCCCAAGAGTCATCATTCTGGAATGCTTTGTGTCATGAGAGTGTCGCCTACGTTACCAAGACTCAGAGTTGATTTTATCTTTAATCTCCTAAGTAAATATGCTACTGGTATAAGATACACCCTGGACACATTCTTGCATCAGAAGCATCAACTTGAGGCCGCTAATGAAGATGATGATGATACTAACCAGTCCGTGTCTTCCATAGAGGATGACTTTGTCACTGCCTTTGAGCACTTAGAGGAAGAAGAGACTTCAAAGCTATATAGTGATGGTTTGTTTCTTACTAGACTTTTTCTTGAAATAGGGAATTAAGATTTAAAGTTCAGTTTTGAAAGTTTTAAGGCAGACTTGTTCAGTTGAAATTTTTGTTGAAATTTGATCCAATTTAAACATTTCAGCCTTTCTTCTGATTCCCTTTGTGATTTTTTAAAGTTCATTGTTATCTGATTTTCAGTTTTGCCATTTGTTCTTACTTAGGAAGCACTGTTGAAGTACTGTTTATGTCATTATTTTAAGGGTCTGGAACATCCCTAGGTTCAAATTTTGGGAAAGGTAGCTGGCAGAATCATAATAATGTTTCTAACATGCATGATAGCATGTGAAACATTTCATAGACCAGGTATCTCCAAATATAGGGTAAAATTAAATTATTTTAGTTAAGGGTAAATTTGCTTTCAAGTGTTACTTGGGGGTAAGTCTTTCTGTTAAATAACATAGTTTAGAAGACACTTGTGTTACAAATTAACATTTTATTTTAAAATCAGTTTATCCCATGGTTTAAATTAATTTTTAAACATTCTGTTCAAGAGAAATTTAATAATTGTATTCTTTTCCTATAGGAATAAACATTACTGCATTAAAGAACCAGTGTGATGCTGCTTCTCAAACTATTACTGGTCACCATTTGGAAACCCATGATTTAAGAATGCTGGTTAGTTCTGAACAGCAGCAGTCATTTACTAAACCCTCAACTTCCTTAATAAATGCTTTGGAACATAAAGGACTGCCTTCTGTGAAAGCTTCAGTCACAACATCAATTTCAGAGCCTTGGATCCAAAGGAGTTTCTACAGGTCATCTAATGCTTCAGATAAAGGTAGTGATATACAGAAAACGTTTTTTTCTTCTTCTCCTGCCTATTCTTCTGAATCAGAATGCTCAAGTCCAAGTCCTGTTATTTTCTTGGATGAAGAAGGTTATCAAAAAAGTTTAAAAGCAAAACTTGAGCTGCCTAAAATTCCTGTGATGAAAGATGATATAGAGGATTCAGACTCAGAAGTAAGTGAATTTTTTGATAGTTTTGATCAGTTTGATGAACTAGAACAAACTTTAGAGACTTCATGTCTGTTTATAAAAGATTCTGTCAAAGGGAAACCATCGCAAAGGAAAGGGCAAAAACATGGAAAATCTTGTATGAATCCTCAAAAATTCAAATTTGATTGTCCAGCTCTCCCAGCTAATGTTAAAAAGCCAACTCCTCGTAAACCAGAATCTCCATATGGGAGCCTGTGTGATGCTCCAGATTCTCCTCGCCCAGTGAAGGCATCAGGGGATGACAGTGGTTTGTTTAGCCCTATTCGATCCTCTGCTTTTAGTCCTCTTAGTGGCTGTACTCCAGCTGAATGTTTTTGCCAAACAGATATTGATGCAGATAGAATTCATGAAAATCACAATGCTATTTATTACACCTATGAAGATTATGCAAATAGCATTTCATGTGAAGTACTAGACTCGGTTCTTCATGCCCAACAAACTAATGACTTATCAAACATTAATAGTATTAAAAGTGGAGAGAACAAAACTGTAACTCTTAGGCTTAGAAATCTTGATCAAATAAGTAAGTCTAAAAATAAATCATTAATAATTAAAGATAGCATTCAGAAATTTGCAACAGATCTTGTGGAAAAAAGTTTTGGCAGTGCATTTAAAGACTTACAGAAAGGAGTCTCTTCGTGTACCAATGCATTGTGCCACTTAGCCATCAAGTTGACATCATCTGTTTTTCAGATGGCATTTAATGAACTGAGAAGACAGCAAGCATTTTCACTGAAAGAACGTGCCATTAGTGGCCTAGCTAATTTTTTGGTGAGTGAAGCTTTATCAAATGCCTTAAAAGATTTACAGTATGTAAAGAAACAGATATTTACAAACACAGTTGCTAGGTTTGCTGCAGATCTTGCTGAAGAGCTTGTTTTTGAAGGCATCATGGAAGTGTGTCAGTTCTCATATCCTCCAACGCCTGCATCTCCACAGTGTGGGTCATTTGACTTTGAAGACAAAGTAGTGAAGTCATATGCAAAAGATTTGTCTGAATCTGTAATACAGGAAGCATTCATTGAGCTATCACAAATTGATGTGACCTTCACAACAAAGGCAGCAGTTAGTGTCTCTACAGATAACATTAAGTATGTGAGTGCAGAGAGTGTAGTACCATCAACACAAACCTTCACATTTTCCCCTTCTTTTCACTCTCAAGCAATCATGGTGACAAAACCAACGCAGGACTATAAAAAGGAATATACAGTTCAGCAGGCCTTATTTTGTACTTCTGGAATTGTTACTTCTATACCAGTGCCCTTGGCAGGAAGTGCCCTTCTGCCATATCATATTTCATCTACTGTTTATCAGGCAAAGTCTCATCTATCATCTGATGATAGTAATTCACATGGGAGGTCTACCCAAGCGCATATTATCACAAAGAATAGAGGAGAGGAAGTAGCTTGTCTCAGAAATATTTGTTTACCTTCAGAACACAATCCAGGTAACCAGAATGATTTAAAACCAACTAATGATGATACTGAAATGCAAAGTTCTTCAAAATTAACAAGTGATTCTGTGATTATTAACAACTTTTCTACAGCAATGGTGCACACGATAGTAAATGAAACTTTAGAGTCAGTGGCATCGTTCAAAGTTACAAAAACAGTTGATAAACACACAAATGATGTAATCAAATCAGTGAAGGGAAAAACCTCTCCTTTTTCCCATTGTGATCAAGCAACACCACGACGGAGTGAAGCCAGCAGTAAGGACATGTTTGCTGACCAGTTATCTAAGTCTATTATTAAACATTCCATCGATAAAAGCAAATCAGTGATGCCAAATTTAAGCAAAAATGCTGTATACGGGGAAGGCTTGCCTATTCTTGGAGAAGAATCACAGTTGACACTTGAAAAGTTTCCCAAATTTCTTGACTCTCAAGATCACTTAACTCACTGTTCACCTTCAGTCAGAAAGGATTGTGTTCAAGAATGTAAAGATTCTATTATGACTCATGGATCTTCTTTAGAGACACTACCATCTTGTTTAACTATGGCAGGTCAGAAATCTGATTTGAACGAACTTGCTAAGGATAAATCAGTGAAAAAGCATAATTTGAATAATACATCACTCGAACACTTGTCCTTTGGACAGGAAAGCTCCTTTCCACATTCACATACTTTCTCCTCAACAGTGCTTACCTGTGTAGATGTTTTGCATGTGGAAGATAAACAGAAAATCAGAGACAGAAATGTAATACCTGATACTCCTCCATCAACTCCTTTAGTACCATCCCAGGCTAGTTCTGAATGGGATATCAAGAAGTTAACCAAAAAGCTCAAGGGGGAATTAGCCAAAGAATTTTCACCTGCCACGCCACCTTCTACACCTCACAACTCATCTGTTGGTAGTTTGTCTGAACATGAACAAAATACTATAGAAAAAGAAGAGTTCATGCTGAAACTCATGCGATCTCTTTCAGAAGAAGTTGAAAGTAGTGAAGGTGAAGAGCATCTAGAGGTGGATCAGAAGTCAGAGCACTCAGGGAAGAAAGTTAAGTTTGCAGAAGCATTAGCTGCACAGATCATTTCTCTTGCAACTGAAATGGCAGCTTCCCATTTAGATAGTAAAATAATTAAAGAACTCAAAGTTAAAAGCCCTTGCTTAAATGTGCAAAGTCAAAGAAGTGTATCTCCTACTTTTATAAGTCACTCAGATGAAAATTTACAAACATTATGCAATTTTGCAGATGATATGGCTGCAGAAGTCATTATAGAAGCTGAGAAAATAGCAAAAGTTAGAAATTGTATGCATTTCAAGCAAAAGAAGAACAGTTGCTATGCTGATGGTGACCGAGATTATAGATCAGAAGAGAAGTTGGATATAGAGGCTGTAGCACACCCAAGAGAAGTGGATCCATTTGTTCTTTCACTACCACCAAGTTCTTGCACATCAGGTCTGACATATAAGTATCCTAGCTGTGAAAGTGTAACAGATGAATATGCAGGTCACATTATCCAAATACTAAAACAGGAAGGTGGTAATGGTGAGTTAATAATGGATCAGTATGCCAATAGACTTGCCTACCGATCTCTTAAATCAGGATTACAAGAAGCAGCTAAGACAACCAAAGTGAAGTGCAGCTCAATAATGTCCCCTGTGCAAAGCTCACAGTTGAAAACAAACAAGGAACTGTTAATGTTCTCAAATAAAGAGCACTGCCAAGAAGTAGATAAAAAAGGACAAAGAAATGGAGTTAACTTTTGTAAAAATCAAACTTATGAACGGACCCAAGATACATATAGAAAGGAGTGCTCTGAACTGTGTAGTTTGTCAGTCTCTCTTGCTCACAGCATAACAAGAGATGCCAAAAAAGAGCTGACAGCGTCTCTAGTTGGCTTGCCGAAATCCTTAACAGATTCTTGCTTGTTTGAAAAATCTGTATTTGATGAAGATAATCAGTGTCATGTTGAACCAGAATTTCCTAAGTCTCTTCAACCTTCCCCACAAAATCACGGAGTTTACCACAGTACAGGCAGCTTAAGTGGAGGATATGGTTGTAGAGAGAATGTTATTCATGCTATAGAAGAGTATGCTAAGAAAGTAGTAGATGACACTTTAGAGCTAAGTTTAGGATCCACAGTTTTCCAAATGTCTGAGACCAGAAAATCAGCAGACAGGATTACTTATGCAGAAAAGTTGTCACCTCTTACAAGCCAAGCTTGCAGATATTGTGACTTTAAAGAACTCCATGATTGCACTGGAAATTCCTCTCAGTACTTTTCCAGTACTAAGCCAGCTTCTAATTCAAAGTTTAGCAGCATCTATCAGAAATCTAGAATTTTTCATCTTGATGTCCCTCAAATTCATGTTAATCTTGACAATAAGACATTGCTTGCTGAGAAGATAGTCGCTGAAGCTATTGAAAAAGCAGAGCGAGAGCTGAGCAATACTAGCTTGGCAGCTGACAGTGGGATTGGACAAGATGGTGCTAGCTTTGCTGAAAGCCTTGCCACCGAAATAATGACATCAGCTGTGACAAATGTTGAACATGTTGTTAGCAGGTAAGTTTCAAATTTACTTTGGTTGTTATGATTAAAGGAAATGTTAAAAATCATACATGGTTTAGGTCCTGTTCAGAAAGGTGTGATTATTTTTAACCCTAAATTAACAAAAATTTTCTCTATTACATTTGTGTATTGCTTCATATTCTAGTTTTATGTATCTTGATATCTGGATCCCTTTTGTGGAAGATATTACCCATTTACAGAGCTGAAAGATGAGGGTTGGAGAAGATAATCACTTTGTCCAAATTCACAGAGCTATGAAGTTGAAGCAAAGTTGAATCAAAGAAACAGCTGGAGAATGTCATACAGTAATATCCCCTTCTGTCTTCAGTTGTGCTTTCCATTGTCTGAAAATATTAAATGGAAAATTCTAGAAATAATATGTAAGTTTTAAGTTGCATGTCATTCTGAGTATTGTGATAAACTCTCATGCTGCCCATCCAGGGATGTGAAGCATTCCTTTGTCCAGCATATCCACTATCCTTAAAAAAAAAAAAATTTTTTTTAAGGTTATACGGGACAAGTAAGCATTTGCTCCATAAATAGGCTGCAGGCAGGTGAAGTTTGGGCTTCTAGCTGGCCCTCACTCCCCACATAGTGGACCAGGTACCCACTGTGTTGTCACGTGCCCTCCTCTTACTTCCAGCAGTGCCCAGCATCTACCGATCCCACCCTTGTGCTAGTGGGACTAGTGATCAGGGCCTGCTTCTGAGTGAGAACATGTGGTATTCAGTTCTTTGTTTCTGTGATAGTTAACTTAGTATGATGGTCTCCAACTGCATCCAAGTTGCTGCAAAGGCTGTGATTTTGTTCTTCTTCATGGTTAATAGGTGGTATCTCAGTATAGTTATAATTTGCATTTCTTTGATGATTAGTGAGGCTGAGCATTTTTTCATGTATCTGTGGGTTGCTCTTTTGTCTTCTTTTGAGAAGTTTCTATTTATGTCCTTTGCCCACTTTTAAAAAAATGTTTAAAATGGGAAGTACAATTAAGGGTTAGATATGTACGTGGTCATTGTACAGGTAAAATGTGGGTACCCTTATTGATGTTATGTGTTCCCCCCCTCCCTGGCAGTGTCCCACTACTGCCAATCCCCTTATATAATTATGATAAATGTTCAGGGTCTGCTTATGAGTGAGTACATGTGATACTCAGATCTTGGTTTCTGTGATAAATCACTTATTATAGACTCTTATTCCATCCAGGTTGCTGCGAAGTTTATAATTTTGTTTTTCTTTATGGATGCATAATATTCCATCATGTAAATTTACCACATTTTCTTTATCCAGTCCACTTTTGATGGGCATTTCAGTTGGTGTTAAGTTTTTGCTATTGTGAATCGTGTGACAGTAAACATGCGTGTGCAGGTGTCGTTTTTTAGAGCGATTTATGTTCCTCTGGGAATATTCCCAGGAGAGGGATTGCTGGATTGTACGGAATCCCAATTTTTAGTTCTTTGAGAAGTCTCCACACCGTTTTCCATGGAGGTTGGACTAGTTTACATAGCACCGTCTCATTTTCTTCCCATCACGCCAGCCCCTGTTTTTTTTTTGACTTAATACATTTGTGATCAGCATTTTTTTCACTTTCCTAATACTGAAAGCGAGTGAAAATTAAAAAATCTGAAGCTGGTTGCCGCAAACTTCTGTCTTTAAGCACAAGAGAAATAAATGGTCTTTTCGAAATTGTCACTTTTTCACAATACAGCTGAAAGTTGCAGACATATCTAATATTTGCCTCTGACACTAATTTGACTAGCATTCTGTACTTTGTATTTTTATTTGGATTATAAACCAAATATATATCACATATATAAATTTGTTTACATTGCATCATTACATCACTATCTGTCTCATGTCACTAATAAGTGCACTGGACTCACCTTTGACCTTGGAAATCTCATCAGCATATATTTCTTCATTTTCCATAATTATGGTAAATTATTTTTAACATTGAAGTATGAAGGCCCTGAAATATAAAAATACAAGTATGCAACACTAATCGCAACAAAATAATGACCAACTTGCAATTTTTACCAACTACGTAAATCAATAGCAATATTGCACAGTCGATATCAGATAATTATCTCAACTTTCTCTCTCCTTGCCTCACTATTCATTTTCAAGCAAAATATAATTACACATATGTATGACAACATTGCAGCACTCAGAAACAGAATTTGCAAAGGTGTAATTCACGTCATTGACAACCAGGAACAGAATTTGGAATGATGTAAATTCACATCAGTGATTGCGAATGAGTCAATAATGTTAGCCATCCTACCGGAGTTAGGTGGTATCTCATTGTAGTTTTGATTTGCATTTCTCTGATGATTATTGAGGCTGAGCATTTTTTCATGTGTCTGTTGGCTGCTTGTATGTCATCCTTTGAGAAGTGCATGTTCATGTTCTTTGCTCACTTTTTTTTTTTTTTTACTATGTATATATTTTTTACTATAAAGATGTGGAGTACAATTCAGGGTTAGGTATACAAACGTTGATTATGCAGGTGCCCTTGTTGATGAGATATGCTCCTCCCTTCCCTAGCAGTTTCCCTCAACTGCCAATCCCATCCCCTCACCTGACAGTTTCCCACTACCTCCAATCCCTTTTTTACAGTATTATAATTGTTCAAGGTCTGCTTATGAGTGAGAACATGTGGTACTCTGTTGTTTGTTTCTGTGATAGATCACTGAATATGATCGACTCCACATCCATCCAAGTTGCTGCAAAGTTCATATGTTTTGTCTTTCTTTATGGCTGCATAATATTCCATTGTGTATATGTACCACATTTAAAAAAATCCAGTCCAGCTTCAATGGGCAACTTTTTGATGGGGTTGTTTTTTTCTTTCAATTTGTTTGAGTTTCTTATAGATCCAGGGTGTTAGGCCTTTATTAGGTGCATAGCTTGCAAATATTTTTTTCCCATTCTGTGGGTTGTCTCTTTTCTCTCTTGATGATTTCCTTTGCTGTACAAAAAGTTTTCAGTTTGATAAGCTCCCACCTGTCTGTCTGTCTGTTGCACTTGCTTTTGGGGACTTGGTCATGAATTTATTGCTTGTTCCAGTGTCCAGAAGGGATGGCTCTACGTTTTCTTCTAGGATTCTTATAGTTTGAGGTTTTACATTTAGGTCCTTTTGAGTTGATTCTTGTATAGGGTACAGTTTCATTCTTCTGCATATGGGTAGCCAGTTTTCCCAGCACCATTTGCTAAATATGGTTTCCTTTCCCCAATAATTGTTATTGATGGCTTTGTCAAAGATGAATTGGTTGAGAAACTGTGTTTTTATTTCTGGAATCTCTGTCCTATTCCACTGGTCTGTGTGCCTATTTCTGTGCCAATACCATGCCGTTGTGGTTACTGTAGTCTTGTAATAGTTTAAAATCTGGACGTGTGATACCTCCATCTTTGTTCCTTTTGCTGAGGATTGTTTTGGCTATTTGTCCTCTTTTTTTGCTTCCATATGAATTTCTGTATCGTTGTTTCTAGGTCTGTGACAAATGATGTTGGTAATTTGATGAGTATTGCATTGAATCTGTAGATTGCCTTGAGTAGGATGGACATCTTAAAAATATTGATTCTTCCAGTCCATGAGTGTGGGATGTTTTTCCATTTTTTGGTATCCTTGGATTTCTTTGAACAGTGTTTTAGTTCTTGTTATAAAAGTCTTTCACTTCTCTGGTTAAGTGATTCCAAGGTATTTTATTTTTTATGTGGCTATTTTTGTGAACGGGATTGTGTTTTTTATTTGGTTTTCAGCCTACTTGTTGTTGGTATATAGAAATGTAACTGTCTTTTGCATTTTGATTTTGCAACCCAAGACTTTAATAAAGTCACTTATCAGTGCAAGGAGATTTTTGACAGACTTTGTAGGGTTTTCTAGGTATAAAATCATATAATCTGCAGAGAGGGATAGCTCAACTTCCTCTTTCTTACTTGAATATCCCTGATTCTCTTCTCTTGCCTGATATCTCTGACTAGGACTTTACTTAGTACTGTGATGAATAGGAGGAGTAAGAGTGGGCATTTTTGTCTTGTTCCAGTTCTTAGAGGGAATGCTTTCAGCTTCTGTCTATTAAGAAAAATGTTGACTGTAGTTTTGTCATAGGTGACTCTTATTGTTTTGAGAAATGTTCCTTCTGTGTCTAGGTGTTCAAGGATTTTTATCAAGAAGGGTTGCTGAATTTTGTTGAATGCTTTTTCTGCATCTCTTGAGATAGTCATGTGGTTCTTGGTTTTACACCTGTTGATATGCTGAATTACATTTATGGTATTGCAAATGTTGAACTAGCCCTACATTCTGGGAATCAAGCCCACATCGTCATGGTGGATGATCCTTGAAATGTGTTGTTGGATCCGATTTGCTAGAATCTTGTTGAGAATTTTTGCATATATGTTCATCAGGGAAATTGGCCTATTATTTTCTATACTTGTTGGGTTTATGCCAGTTTGGGGTATAAGTATGATATTAGCTTCATAAAACAATCTAGGGAAAATTCTTTTTTTCTCTATTGCTTGAAATACTTTCAGTAAGTTTGGTATGAGCTTTTCCTTACAAATCTTGTAGAATTCAGCTGAGAAGCCATCTGGTGCAGGGTTTTTTTTTTTGGCTGTGAGATTTTTAGTAGCTGTCTCTTGTGCTCATTGATTTTAATAACATAATTAAGATTTTTTCAGCCGAGCTCGGTGGCTCAACCTGTAATCCCACGCCTTTGGGAGGCTGAGGTGAGTGGATTGCCTGAGCCCACGAGTTCGAGACCCACCTGGGCAGCGAGACCTCATCTCTACAATAAATAAAAAAAAATCAGCTGGGTGTGGTAGCGCGCGCCTGTAATTCCGGCTACTTGGAAGGCTGAGGCGGAAGGATCGCCGGATCCCAACAGGTCGAGGCTGCAATGG